AACTGTAGAGTGAGTAGCCACATTTAGTGGAATGTGGTCAGTAGCTGTTTAGATGTTTCTGCGGGCTAACATGTTTCTCTACAAGTGATTTTGAAATAAATGTCCAATTTGTTTGTATTCACTCCATAATTTGAACTGAATCTCTTTTCTGTCAGGCCCGTCGTGCTGGTGTGACCTGCATCATCCTGCCAGCTGAGAACAGGAAGGATTACTCTGACCTGGCAGATTACATCACCCAGGGCCTGGAGGTCCACTTTGTGGATCACTATAGTCAAATTTACCCCATTGTGTTCCCACAAGACCAGTCATAACCCGCTTTCAGCTACAGCCCTTAAATCAAGCCAAGATGGACCAAGACTTTTTTTGATTACACTTAAGAACCCAAAACCTGTTTATTACCACATCAACACTGATTGTAATACTGGTTGTTCCTTGTAAATTTTAGTTATTGAATTTGGACTCTGAGGTTCGGCTGTGGAGAACGGCAGTACCTTATGTTCCCGAAGCATTCAGAGAACCATCATGTAGTGCAGGACTACATCACTGGACTGAAACCGTTCGGTCAACTGTGGCAAAGATGGACAAACACAGCATAGGGATGCTAACGATGGGGATGATTAACACTGACCTGTCATCGTAGGATATGAGGTCATCAATGAGCAGAAGTTGGAGTGACAGCTTTGCTGCCAGGCAGCGTCTTTACCCTCAGCTTTTATTATATGGGGCCATGGGTGGACTCTCTAATAGATTTCTTGTATTATTTTGTACTGTTATTAGCCAACTGTTATGATAATGATGTTTAAATAAATAACAAAAGTTTGCTTGCTGATGTTAACTGTCATCAACTTGTAAATCTATTAAAATATTTTTATTTGACACAGCTGAGAATTGTATTACAAGCACTGAAAACTGTCCATCACAAACAATATAAGAAAAACTGTTAGTTTACAGTGTATGTACAAGTGTGAAGTGTACGTTAACACCTGAAACATCAGAACAGTTTTAATAATGTGTCCCTAAAAAAGTTATCTTGTCTTTGACGACCCAAAGTAGGCCTATTCAAAAGAAATATATTAAAACATGATTAATTAGACATTGAAGACAGACATCCAGTACTCCTCTGGGATGTATTAAATCTGGAGGAGTTTTATTGCCCCTCCAGAATGTTTAGTTTCAGCCTCATGCTTTTGGTTTGGCAGTGTGCTGTCTGCTGCAGTTTGGGGAGTAGTTTCTGAATGTGTTTAGGTTGTTTATAGGGACCTCCCTGATTAGTTAGGGAGTGAACCAACTGGACTGACACCAGCTCACTCGTTTATTTGTTGTTGTTGTTTGTTTTTTTTTAGGTAACCGTGGGTGGAGACACATTTCTCTGGTGTTGGTAAGGATTCCGGTGTCTGGGCCACAGTGCTGGGGTTAACTGGTGCTCTGCTATTAAAGCTGCCCTGAGCCCAACACGCCTCCGAAGATATTTAGGTTTTAGTGGAAATGGGAGAGGTACTGGGGAGGGATGCTTTTGTGTAGTTGCTGCTGGTGCACTCAGACTAATTTCTGGTGCTCATTATGGGAAGCTTTTGGTCAGGCGAGTTAAAGTTAGTGCTCTATTTATTGTTGTAAAGTGTCTGATCAACTTTTGTATGTTAAGCAGCTCTGGGTTTGTCAAGTGGTACAGTGCACCTTCATTTGTAGGCTGGGTGTGCTTGAGTTTGGTAATTACAGGTGATATTACTCTGCCATCCAAATGATGGTATTTGGGCAGCAGCACAAACAATATTTCTAAGCTGATACAAGCAGACATTCGTTGTCTTTCATGGCTTTATATTAAACATACAAAGTAATGGTGGAAAAATAATGTCAACACTAAGATTCTGATTTCACTAAACATCAACGGGAGTCAGGTGTTGGCAAACCTGGCATAGCTTTTCCATGTTTTCTGACTTCTCTACAATGTTACAATGGTGAATTATCTTCTTAGACGTGATCTGAGGCTCAAAAATGGGGTGAACATATGTTTCAGTTTAGATTTTTGTGATAACGCTTTTATTCCACACAATTCAGGCCGGAAGTGTTTTCTTGTTGTGCGGAACCCGGTTGGCTTGACTGGCCCTCAGGAGCAGCAGCGATTGTATAAGCGGGTGGGAGCGAGGAGGAAGTGAGCGGCTGGATGCTGGGATTAAACAAAGACACCTGACCCGATTCACTTGGCTTTATCACCGGGTGCTGCAGGCGGGTCCGTGCACGCTGCCTCTGCCCGAAGCCCCGCTGCTCCTCACTTGATCCCCTTGTGTTTTGTCGGGTTTTCCTTTCGGCGGATGCGAAGGGCCAGCTGTGCTCTGTAGCGTTACGTACCGTGGAAACATCCATCATCTGCTGTCACACCGCAAATTAATCTTCATAGTTACGACCTACAAACACGCGTGCGGGGCAGACGCTGCTGTCTTTCTTCCTTCTTCAGAGGTTTGGGTCAACGACCAAACGTCGCTGGGATTAGCTGTTTCTCCTGTGCATATCTAAGGCTGTTGTTTTGCTGTACGTTGTGTTTCGTTGCGCGCTGCTGTGCGGTCATGTAGGCATCTATGGACCATCAGATGTTAAACCGCACATCGTATATTATGGGCATCATCATTTAGCTACTGTTACTGTGGGCTCAGTCTGTTGTGACCTGCTTGATATTCACTTCACTTTTAAGGATGCGCTGTGGCTCCAGCTGCAGCTCCACATCTGTCTGTGTGTACGGTTGCTATGTTGGAGATATTCTACCTCCATACTGTTCCCAGACTTTAAAGGGCCCAAACCAAATACGGGATTTTTAAGAAACTGTAAATGAAAATAAAATCAGTTGATGTAAAAATATAAACTGTATAGCCTACAAACACAGTATACAAATTACTTAAGTAGCCTAAATAAGAGCCTAATAAAAATACATTTGAGATTAGGGCAGCTTTTATAAAGCCTCTAAATGTTATAGTTTTAACCCCCCCATGTTCATAACTATTGTAAAGAACTTTCCTCTTAACTTTTCTGGCTTATTATTAAACAAAAATTCAACAATCTTTTGTTCATAAATCTTGATAAATGCCTGTCCTGGCAACTGTCAGTGAGCTAAATAATGAAACTTTTCCATAAAGGGTTACTATTTTACTTTTCCATGGTTGTACAATCTTGTCTTTTGCAACTTTGTCTCCTAATTTATTGCAGAAAGGCCATGTAGCTTTTCAGGGATCATACTTCCCAAACATTAATTTGGTTATCTGTCCATGTAATAGATAACCTACTAGAAAATTTAAAATGTGTGCCTTTTAATGCACCAGTTCTAAGGATATTACACTTTCATAATTTGGTAATACTGTAAATTATCAATTTTTGGACTTATTAAGAAGTTTGCATCATCTGCATACATAGAAATATTTGCTTCTATACCAGGCCTACCTCTTACTGTAATGGTGAATATTTCTATACCCATTATAAATAAATATGGAGACAATGGTCAAGCTCGTGTTACTCACCTTAATGCAGACTGTTGATCCTGGCTCACCTGTGTTTGTTGTTCTCTCCTCAGTCCTGTCAGTTGGTGTGATGGCTGTGTTGTTAGTGCTTCTGCTCTCTGTGCTGCTCCTGTCCATCCACACTAGTCAAGCTTCTCCTTCTTGCCCCGTGAGCTGTCGCTGCTATAGCCTCACTGTGGAGTGTGGCTCTACTGGCTTGAGGGACATCCCCAAACATGTCCCTTCATCCACACAGGTAGGTTAATTGTTCTGAAAGAGGAATTCACATCTGTCTTGACTGATATTAAAGGACCAAGAAATTTCAACACAACTAAAAGTCCTGGAATGTCATATGTCATAATTCTTTGACACAGTGACCAGTACTGACCAAAACTCTCCCTTTGTCCCTGTTCGTATTATCTGCTTGTTCTTCATCCAGACCATCTTCCTTCAGGACAATGTGATTGGTCAGATCCGTCGTCAGGACCTCACTCTGCTGAGGCACCTGCACTACTTGTACCTGCAGGTAACAAACAACACACACACACACACACACACACACACTTACTTCTATCTTTATGAGAACACTCATTGACATAATGCATTCCTTAACCCCTTACCCTAACACCATCAGACCTAAATGCCTAAGCCTAATTCTAACCTGAACTCTAAAACCAAGTCTTAACCCTTAAAAAGGTGTTTCAGAGAGTGAGCACCAGCCAAAATGTCCCTACTCTGTAGCAAAAAAATGCTTTTCTTGGTCCTCACTATGTAGCTAGTACAGGAACACACACTTATTCCTCTGTGCCATAGACCTGTCCACTGTTCAAATACAATTAAAAACACCTCCCTGAGACAAACCGCTGCACTGCGTGACATGTTTCCTCATTACAAAACACAAGACCCTAAAATTTATTAAGAATATCCCGTGCATGCAGAGTTGACTCTGTTGTAAACAGTTATGGCCATTCAGAGCCTTTGAGGCAACATTTTAATTAATTATTAGGGTATTGTTCTTGAAAAAAGTCAGAGGCTCTCAAGAGCATCCAAGAAAAAGATAAATAAGCTGACCACATCAGTAGCAGCCTTTAAAAACAGGTGGTATAGCCCATATAGCAAACTGAATAAGGGGTGGAGATCAATTAAGAAGGCTCTCACAGAGAGAAACCTTTTGGATATATACATTAAAAGCTATGCAATATCCAATGGCCCACCTGATTTGTGCTCTTTCCCGTAATTGTCTCTGAATTAGTTCAGTGTTTTGTGCAGATTTTTTTCCTCATTGATGCAAAATTATGATATTGAGATGTACATTGGTTTATGTTTATCATGTAGTTTGTGTTTAAGTGTTTGTTCAGCATTTGTTTTCTTTGTTTCCTTTGAACCAGTGTTGGATCATGGTGTGGTTTGCCATGTGATGTTTGTCTATATTGATTATGTGACTACTTTCTTTGTACTACTTATAACCTGTTTGCAATTATTCATGGTACTTGTCTAGATTAAACATGTGATCTTTCACTGGTCGCGTGACTACATGCTATTTATAGGGCACATCCAAAGGCAGCCATTTTTTATATTGCTTAGTTATAGGAGATAGAGTCTGAAGAATAGGCTGGTAGGTTTGGGAAGGGAAGGGAATATCAAGAGCTTGCTGGATAGGGGACAAACAGTCGTTAGTGCAGAGGAGAATGTTTAAATATTTAAACAAAACCGGATTTATGTGTAGACTATAATCCTCCCACAGAGGAATGATGTTACACTCTGGTGCAGTAGGTGGCAGCACACACCTTTTAAGTTGGTTTGTAGCCTGCCAATAAAACTAAAGAAGAAGAAGGTGGCACCCATTTAAAATGCTGGCCCCCCATGACAGACACTATTCTCTGCTTGTTGTTTCTGTACCTTTAAACTGACCTAACACACACTTTAAAGAAGCTTTTAACACCTTCCCCCACAAGCTATACATGACTACGCTATGGTGACTCCACTCCTAAAGAAGCCAAATTTTGATCTCACGGCGTTTTCCAATTTCCTCCCAATCTCTCGCTTGCCTTTTCTCTCAAAAATTTTGGAGAAACTTGACTCCATACAGCTGCAGGTGCACTTAGATAAACTCGGTATTGCTGATAAGTTTCAATCGGGCTTTAAAAGTCGTCATAGAATAGTATCTGCGCTATTGAGAGTCCATAATGACTTTACTATGGCACTCGATTCAAAGCGTTCCGTTATCTTAGCTCTTTTAGACTTATCTGTAGCCTTTGACACTGTGGACCACAACATTCTCCTCTTCTTGTTGGAACACCATATGGGCTTAAAAGGAGTAGTTTTGAGTTGGTTCACCTCTTTTCTGACAAATAGGTCGTTTCTGTCACTATTGGTGATTCTTTCTCTTCTGGTCCCCCAAGGCTCGGTTCTAGCCCCGCTCCTTTTTTCTTTTATACATTTTCCTTCTTAGTTCAATTACGGTATGTCGAAGTATAATATCCATTTTCATTTCTGTGATGATATTCAGATCTACATGCCATTAATGCAATGCGACGCGAACTCTTACTCCGTTACTCAACTGTATTCGAGATATTAAACTCTGGTTATCTCAAAACTTTCTATATCTTTATTTTCTGATACAGTGAAAAATCTCGGAGTAACATTCGATAACCGTCTTAATTTTGACAAACAAGTCAGCTCCGTAGTCAAAACCAGTTTCTTCCATCTGAGACTTGTAGCTAAGGTGAAGCCCTTCCTATCTCGTACAGACTTAGAAAAGGCCATTCATGCATTTATCACCTCTTGACTTGACTATTGCAATGCTCTTTACATGGGAATTTCTCAGTCTCTTCTGCAGAAGCTCCAATTAGTCCAAAATGCTGCGGCCCGTCTTTTGTCAAACACCCCTAGATTCGCTCACATTACTCCCATTTTGTTTTCTTTGCACATTTTTGTTTGCTCAACTTCTGATTTTCCTCTTCTTCAGAACAATACCATCTCAGCAGTGGAGCCCGGCTCCTTCCAGAACCAGGGTCAGTTGTTGGAGCTGGCTCTGAACGGGAACCGGATCCACCTCGTAACAGCTGACATGTTTCAGGGACTCGAACATCTCCGCATTCTTTACCTGGCAGGAAATGACATCACACGTCTGCTTGACTATACCTTTCGTGGCTTACAGGTAAGGCACATTAGAGCACACATACAGTGGGTACGGAAAGTATTCAGACCTCCTTAAATTTTTCACTCTTTGTTATATTGCAGCCATATGCTAAAATCATTTAAGTTCATTTTTTCCTCATTAATGTACACACAGCACCCCATATTGACAGAAAAACACAGAATTTTTGACATTTTTGCAAATTTATTAAAAAAGAAACACTGAAATATCACATGGTCATAAGTATTCAGACCCTTTGCTCAGTATTTAGTAGAAGCACCCTTTTGAGCTAATACAGCCATGAGTCTTTTTGGGAATGATGCAACAAGTTTTTCACACCTGCATTTGGGGATCCTCTGCCATTCCTCCTTGCAGATCCTCTCCAGTTCTGTCAGGTTGGATGGTAAACGTTGGTGGACAGCCATTTTCAGGTCTCTCCAGAGATGCTCAATTGGGTTTAAGTCAGGGCTCTGGCTGGGCTCTGTCTCTTACATTTAATTTTTAGAAACTGAACAATATACTCAATACATAGCTATGCAAGATGTATTTTCAGTTTTCTACCCAACACGTTTCTTCATTATTACTGTATATGAACGTTCTGGATCATATGTACCATTCTCCCTAACACTGCAGCGTCTGCAGGAGCTCCATTTGCAGCACAACAGTATAGAGATGTTAGCAGACCAGGCTCTAGTTGGCTTGACGTCTCTGGCCCTGCTGGACTTGAGCAGGAACAATCTTCACACCATTGGCCCTGCATCCCTGCGACCTCTGGTCAGCCTACAGGTGCTACGTATCACAGGTCAGCCTGGATAATTGACATATATATCAGTGTAAAAACAAATGACAGTTACATTGGTCTTTCTACTTTTCTTAAGACTGAAACTTGCTGTTTTTGCATAATCACATACATTGTGTTACAAGACAGCTACTTGTAACTAGCATGTCCTCCTGACTTAAATTAAATTAATGCCATGTGGTTCATACAGTACTAAAAGTCTTTAAATTGTTCAGAATGCTGCAGCTAGAATTTTATCAGAGTCCAGACATTTTCACCACATTATCAGTTTTAACCTCCCTTTTTTGGCTGGTGCTTGTAATGACATAAAAAGTCCTAAATGAGCATGCCCCTTTATACATGTCCGAATTGGAAAAGGAATTTTTTCAATAAAGAATAGCAGAATTTCTGTATGTCCCATTCAAATACATGGAGGAGATGCACGATGAGGCAGCACTTTGCTGTGCCTCTCGGTGGATCGTGTAATCCTCACAAACTGTATACGATACAAATAGTGTGTCACTGTCACTCTATATATCACAAATAAAATGCTTTCAAACACTCTGATTATATGCTCTGCCTTGCCATAATCTAGATAATGTATAAAATGTAGTTGTGTAACGTGTTTAGGCTCCAGATTAACCATAAAACCCAGTAAAAAAGTTACTCGGTGAGGCAAACAGTACGCCTGCCTCAAGGCAGAGGGCGCTAGTGAGCCCACAGATTCTTGCGCTACCTACAATCTTCTTCGTTCTTGTTTATATTTCCTTTACAATTCGCCTTATCAAAATGGAAGATTACATTTCCAAGCTGAGAAAATTCGCAAATCTGGACTTTCAATCAAAACATTTTTGACAGTCTGGACATTTTTGTCCAGAAGGATCTTCTTTATTGAGAACATTTGGTTTAATATTGGATTCGAACGGTAAAAGGGTTTGTAATACATACCAGCTGACAAATGGATTTCGTGTACAAGTAAAGGTAAGACCATAAACTTTTATTATTTCTAGTTAGAAATAAGCTCAATTGGAATAAATTTTAACCTCAAATTAAATATGGGTCACGTTTGTGTGAAGAATGTTGATATGAGATATAAAACACAACGCATTGTTAACAGACATTCATTCAGTTCATTTGTATTGGTAAATCTGACTGTAAAAGAGTGCCTCACCAGCTGTCAACCTCACCGCACGTTACTGCCCCCATGTCTGGACTAACCCCACTGCTCACTTCAGACAGTCTGACCTTTAAATCCAAACTTTAAACATCTTTATGTGTAAAGATTCAGTTAGTGCCTTATTCTTTGATTACCTCAGGTCTTTTACTGGACTTGTTACCATTCTCCCTCTGGCAGACTGGTCTCTGTCTAAAACCTTCCATAGCCCTTCTGTCTTCTAAATTCAAACAAAGGTTATTGTGCTTGGGCCTGAAAACCTTAGAAATCTGCTGTCTAATCATATAGTTACTTTAGATGACATAGCTCTTGCCTCCAGTACTACTGTGAGGAACCTTGGAGTCATCTTTGATCAGAATATGTCCTTTAAATCGCACATAAACCAAGTCTCTAGATCTGCCTTCTTTCACCTGCGCAATATTGCAAAAAGCAGGAGCATCCTGTCTCAAAGTGATGCTGAAAAACTGGTCCATGCATTTGTTACTTCCAGGCTGGACTACTGTAACTCTTTACTATCAGGATGTCCCAATAATTCCCTAAAAAGCCTCCAGTTAATCCAAAATGCTGCAGCCAGAGTACTGACAGGAACTAGCAAGAGAGATCATATCTCTCCCATATTAGCTTCTCTCCACTGGCTCCCTGTAAAATTCAGAATAGAATTTAAAATCCTTCTCCTAACATACAAAGCCCTTAATGATAAAGCTTATAGTTAGGTCTGGATTAGGTGGCCCTGAGGCTTCCCTTAGTCATGCTGCTGTAGGCCTAGACTGCTGGGGGGCCATGATGCCCTGAGTTCCTCTCCTCTCCTCACTCTCTATCCAATTATTTGCCACCATTGCATGTTATTTTCTCTGTCCTCCCTCTTCCTATACCTTTCTGTAGGTGTCTCTGGCTGTTTTGTGTGTGTGTGTGTGTGTGTGTGAGATTTGGTATTGAGTAAATAAACTGAATTGAATTGAAAATATACCTTATTTAGTCATCACAGAACATGTTTTTCCATGCACTGAAATGTCTTTATCCTATCACCACAACCAGTGATTATGATAAATCCAGTTGTTTAATCAACAGGAGGCTCCAATCTAACCTGTTATCCTCTGCTTTGCTATAGACAATCCATGGCGCTGTGACTGTGCTCTCCACTGGCTGAGGAGCTGGATTGATGAGGCTGGCCAGCGGCTGCTCAGCTCTGCAGAACGTCGGATGGTCTGCAATGAGCCGCCACGCCTCTCGCACCTCAGCCTAGTGGAAGTCCCCCTCAACAGCCTGGTTTGCATCCCTCCCCTGGTGCAGCTGGAGCCAAGGAGGCTAGCGGTGCGTCTGGGAGAGAGCCTCAGGGTGTCCTGCCATGCCTCTGGTTACCCTCGACCACAGGTAGGGATGCATTTATAAAGTAGTAAATGTGAATAAGTAAAACTTCCTTCAGTTTCCATGACACTGCTTTCCTTCTGCATACAAAGTAGTCTAGCAGCTGTTTGCAAGTGCTGAAGATTATTCACTCTGTGTGTTTTAGAATGTGATGGGAGCTCTCAAAATCCATAATGTGGATAATTCGTGATGGAGAGCACTATCTAACAGAATCTCTTATTGGTGTTTTGTTGGGTTAAGTTCAGTGAAGGCCATGGCAAATGAGATAGCATCATAGAAAATGTGTATTTTTAAAAACGGGGTTTTCTGTTATTTCTCATGAAATACTGAATAGATAATCTACTGTTGAGGTTGCTGTTTTGGTTTGCTTTTGCTAAATTGGAGCTCACAACTACTTTGTAAAATAATCCACATCTCAAAAATCAAACCTGGGTCACATTTAACACAGACTTAAGAGCACATTTCATCTCTCCACCTACGACACATAACTGTATGTCCTCCTCTTGACACCACAAATGCAGCACTGAGATCCAGAAAGATCAGTAGAGGGATAAGTCTGCTGTCAGTGGTAATGGATAGTCATGGTGACTATCACCAGTGCAGCTTCTGTACTATATTGTACTCTAAATCCTGCCTGAAAATGTTCAAATCCTTCTTGTGCAAGTGATTATGGGGGTATATTGCTGTCTTTAATCAAGAGCATTATGAGAGCATGATGTTACCCTGTCTTCATAGGTCAAGGTCAAAGTGTTTATTTGTCATATGCACAGTTAGGAAACGTGTTTCCCTGTACAGTGAAATTCTTACTTTGCCGTCCACATGAATGCCACAAAATACAAATGAAATATAAAGTAGATAAATAAGTAACACAAAATCTAAAGCACTTCAAGCAGCAAATGCAGCAATATAATAAAAATGTATAAGAATATAACAGAGAATGTATGCTGCATGGGAGCAGCATGTGCAGCAGTCAACAGTCAATGTGCAGTTTATATATGTGCAAACTGAGAATATAAACAGTACATGACGTATTTCCTGGTAACAAACTCCTCAGCTGTTTAGAAGTCTCATGGCAGAGGGAAAGAAAGAGTTTTTCAGTCTACTGGTCCTACACTTCACACTTCTGAACCTCCGGTCAGAGGGTAGGAAGGCGAACAGTCCGTGCTGGGGGTGGGTGGGATCTTTGAGGATGGAGGCAGCCTTACTATGCACCCTGTGGTGGTAAATGCTCTGCAGAGAGGGCAGTGGAGTCCTGGTGATCTTCTCCGCACTCAAATGTACCTGCTCGCACTCGGCATGCTGTCCTCACCCTCAGATATAAAGCTGCTTGCACAGATTTCCTATGCTTGCACTCAGTCCCATCTCCTTGCATAGAGGCTGCTGCCAACGCGCTCTCAAAATGTCTGCTCGCTCTCTCTCTCTCTCTCTCTCTCTCTCAGATTTTTGTGAAATAACCTGAAATAACCCTGTCAAATTTCCCTAGCCAATAGAGCGCCAGCTATGACACTGACCAAAGAAATGATCATGGCTAACTTTTGCTTTAGAATGTCCCATGTGGGCGGTTACTATTGTAACACTGCTTCCTCTCGGCTGTGTTAATTCTTGGTAACTACCCTGTTGTTCCTTAGTTCTGGTGTCACTCCTCTTCTGTTAATTAGTAATACAGAACACACAGGAGGCGATGTATGAATATTAACGGAATTTTATGTAATGTGCTGCTCTGCCTTTTATAATACAGAATGTTCTTGTCACACCTTGTTGAATTTTGGGTAAATGCACCATTTTGGGTGGGGGGTCATGCTCATCATCCATCGTAGAGATATACACTACATATATCCTATACAGATACATAGAGTAGCGGATGGTTCAGCTACACCCAAACATCCACTTTAGTGTTCAGTTTGAGCACAGACAGGACAGAAATGGATTCATCTGCAGTGCTTGTGTTATCTACCGACAGCTGCTAGCTCGAGTTAGCTCCTGAACTGAGAGCTGAGATCAGGGAGTCATTTTTCAGTCTGTCGCTCCCATCAACAGGATCTCTCAGTCCGTTACAAGTTAGCTACAGTCAGCTAAGATTATCCATTCTGAATGACCACAGTCAGTAAAGTGAGATGCAAACAATTTAAGGAACTTTCTAGCCAAACAAAATGACAGCGTATGCAGGTACCTACAGCGCCTCCCTAGTAATCACCTGTGGTAACGCAGTGTGCCATACCTTCACATTCACCATACATCTATGTTCATACAATGTAAGCCACTAGCCACCACACACACACTTCTTCTACACTTTTCTCCACCTCCCTTTTCCTACATCCAGCCACATAAACATTTTGCTCTGCATTATTTTTCCTCCTTACTGTTTTACACAATAAACCAGCTACCAGTGTTCTGAGTTTGTTTCCTTTAACCAGGTTCATGTACTCGTATCCTCGGGGGTTTTATTATATGAACTTTACTTTTTGGTGAAAATCTTTTGGACCTGTACCTGTATGTTTTGGCAGTAATAGCTGCGCCTAGTAAACTTGTGCCAATTGCAACTTTTCAATCAACATCAACCTAATATTAAGGACGGGCATAAGAGCATGTGGAATCAGTCTTATTGTCACTATGACAGTCCATGTTGCTAGGCAGCTAACAGCAAAAATAGACCTAGCCCTTTTTCTTCTTTTTATCCACATTTTAGTGTATGTTTAGAAATGGGAAGGGTACACATAACAAACTATTAATAACAAATTATACATAATTATAAAACACAACAAACACACACACGTCTGTATATACAGTATACATACTGAGTGTGTGTGTGTGTGTGTGTGTGTGTGTGTGTGTGTGTGTAGACCTGTGCAGTGCAGTGTGCGGGCTCAGGAGTGTTGGTGTGTTGATGCTGAAGGTCAGGAGCTCATTGGGACTCGAACCAACAACTCTGCTCTTCACTGTGAGAAACACTAACACACATTTGATGTTACAGCTCAAATGTTATGTTTCCCCCCCCCAAAAATAATTTAGGTGATGATAAGATTCAAGAAACACTGAATGCCTTTGCAGGTGACATGGAGGAAGGCATCCCAGGGTAAAGTGGTGCTTTCTCCCAGAGGTCTGGTTCAGGAGCTGGGGGCTGGAGGAGTTGGAGTGGGTGGAGCAGAGGAACCCTCAGAAGAAAGCAGAATCAGTCTGCAGAAGACCGATGGAGAGCGCTTTGACCCTGACACTGGCAGTGGCATGCTGTTTCTCAGTAATGTGACTGTGGCTCATGCAGGTTTTTATGAATGTGAAGCCTGGAATGCAGGGGGTGTGGCCAGGGTCACCTTCCAGCTTGCCATTAACTCATCAACTTCTTCCTCCTCATCTTCCTCTTCCATCTGGGCCTCGTGGTCCCAGGTGTCTTCACCATACTCCCCCACTTGGCCCCGGCTGAGGAACCATGGCCCTGCTCTGGGCTCAGATGTGAGCCGGGAGCCCCTTTATGCTCTGGGCAGCATGGCCTTCAGTGCTCTGGGAGCTGCCACTCAGACCGCCATTGCTGTGGGCATCTCCCTGCTGGCTCTGACCGCTCTGCTGTTGGTCGCCATGATCTACAGCCGACATCAGCAACGAGATAAGGAGGCTGATGGAGCTGAGAAGGTGTGTTGTCTGTTGGTCTGTACAAGAGTAAATGGCACATCTTTATAATTAACAACAATATCCAACTTGATAAATCAAAAGAATTGGCTTAGGCTAGAGTATGGATTTTTGTAACAAACCAAACAGTTGCTTTCTTATATATTACGTGGATGTAAGCACTCACATGTACCTCTGCAGTTGGTATACAGTAATAGCTATGCTAATACCAATATATAACATGAAAGATGAAACCTCACAGATTTCAAAGAATAATCAGTAGTGTGGACCCTTTAGTATCGGTAAAGCCAGTGCAAACTACTACAGCCTCAGGCCATGGAGGGCAACAGATAGTAGGCCAATCAGTTCAACTCCCCACAAAGTTTTTCTGCCACTGTATTTTGGCCTTCAGAGCGCTTCATGAAGGGGAACGTTTTCCCCTAAAATTTATTTAAAAGGTTGCTTCACCTACATTAGTTATACATATGTAAATGAAAAATATTTTTTAAAGGTTCATACTTCTTCCAAGTGGTATTTAGCCTTTTAGACAGCTTCAATTGAGTCTCTGAAATGTTATCAATATAATGCTTTAAAGTGCTTTTAAAAGAGTATGTAAGACTCTCATTGACGTCTTCCTGGGCTGCTAGGGAATAAAACAGCAATAATAATAATAATAATACATTTTATTTATGTAGTACTTTTCAAGGAACTCAGAGATGCTTTGCAAAATAAAGACAATCGGCAAACAACAACAGTAATAGATGAGAGGGCTGTGGGGCTGTGCAGTTTGTGAAGGATGGTGCTGATGTGGCTGTGGGATTTACAATGAGTGAGTGTGTGGGCCACATAGTTGTGGACACAGTAGAGCACGCTGCTGGAGGAGTCTAGTCTGGAAGTGACAAAAGCATGAATCGAAGTTTCACATATGACTGGATATGCATTTACAGTTTGTTGATATGTTCTCAAAAAAGATTGAAAATGATGCCCTAGATTATGGGTATGGGAGGAAGAGAGAACAGCGGAGTTGTCAGTGGTGAGAGAGAATTTTTGGGTGGTGTTAGTTGGTGTGTCAGGGCCAGTGATGATCATTTTCAACTTGTCTCAGTTGAGTTTAAGAACGTTTGCTTGTGTCCATACTTTTATTTCTTCCAGATGGACACGAAGAGGGATGTTTGCTAAACCTGTCGCGAATCACTGTCAGGTGTACAAGAGTACTGTGGCATCACGATTTTTCAGTTTAGAAGAGTCTTTTTCAAGAACCAAAACCTTTGGGGACTCCTTGATAGAGAGAGGCAGGGGAGGAGGTGCAGTCGTTGTCTCTAAGTAGCTCTGTTGGAGAGACAGGATTTTTCCAAGGGTAGAGCAGTGTCTGTGATGTTGAGAGTTGAGTGCAGGCAGGACTGTAGAATGAAGTAAAATAAACAGTGAGACAGGTTTTAAGACCAGTGGCAACATTTTGAAACCAAATTCTATCTTTACATACTGTATATGTTTAAACATACAAAGGATGTGACTGGGGTTTCCTGTAAGTTACACTGTACTTAATGTACATACAGTGCCAAAATGAAACAGACAGGAAACATCCCTAGATGTAAGGCTAAAATAAGAACAATAAAACTACATAAAGATAACTAAACATATAGTTATTATGCACAGGTAAGTACTTAGATATAAACCTAGATATAAAGCAACAAATTGGCAGCAACAGAGAGAGATTATATACAGAGAAAACTGTTTATGAAAACTGTGTACGCAGGGTTACAAGAATGCTGGAATAAATACTGTGTGCACAGCAAAAATTATTGCATTTAGTACATAATACATAAAGTTATTACTTATAGTATGCCAGGTAAGGAGGTGCTATCAAATGAACATCAATGTCCACTAATTTAGTTCTAATGTAAAATATTAAAACTGACAGTTTTTGTATTAGACTGTGTTGTACCCTAAACGTGATGATGAATTTTAACCTGCAGGAAGAGAGCATCCTGTATGTCAATGACTACTCTGATGGCCCCACCACATTCGCCCAGCTGGAGGAGTACCGTGATGAGCGCGGCCATGAGATGTATGTCCTCAATAGGTCAAAGCCAGTTTTGCCACCTGCTCCACCCACAGCTGTCTCCACCACTAACCTGGGTTGCACTGCTCCATCTGACACCTCCAGCCACACCCTCTCCTCAGGGCTTGGCCAGGCCATGAGTCCCACGCTGGCCCCCACCAAACAACAGCAACAGCAGGAGGGCGATATACGGACCATGAGGAGAATGGCAGGGGAGGGAGGGGAGGCCGAACCTGTGATCACATCAGAGGCTGAAGGGATGTTTCTTAACCACACAGGCCTGTTCTTGGACTCTCAGATTGCCTATGAGATCCACTGCTAAAGGGGGGAGAGACTCCACTGCAATACAGAGGATTTGTGTGTGTGAAAGCCCGTCACATCTTATCTGAAGGAAGTCAGGGTTCCACTATCAAAATCTGCCTGACAGAAGTACTCATCCCTGTAGAAGGATTTACTTTCCCCTGACTCGTCCACAGTGATGGAGGCTTATTAGAGAAGACCTCACAATTTGGTTTACATTAATAGCACTGAGGCTTTTCAGTGGATGTACTGTGACCCTCCATGTCAAAATGTCAGTGGTAATGGCCATCCAAAGTCCCTAAACTCAAAGACACTGTTTGGTGGACTCGGGTATAAACTGAGTTGCACACAACTAAACTGACCTGTACATGAACATCTAGGTCAGTGTCGGTTTGCTGTAAAAGCGTTAACACTTGTGCTCTGAAGAACTCAGACAAAGCTCACTGGTTATTTGCAGGTGAGTATAACAAAAGGGGGAAGTCCTCTAATCTTCCAGTTCATGAGTATGTGGGGACCCTTATGTGGTTTGTATGATTTAATTTAATATCAGACTGTGAAGGCAGTACAGTGATGGGGACAGCAAGAGCTGAATTTTCTAATTATTTATTTAAAAGCGTGGGAACATGTTAATCATCACAGAGAAATGATTGTGAAGAAAAATGTATTTTCAGTCTAACTCTTAATCTCCCAATATCTGTCATACTGATCAGTACTGATTAACAGTAAAAGATAAGCGCAAGTTCACATGAAAGAGGCAAAGTTCTTAATTAGTGGTCAATCACATGCACTAATAATAAATAAAGAGCAAGTATTTAATATGAGATAAACTGGTAACACAGTGGGGAAATTAGGCTTTTATGGTGGCATACAGTATCATTCAGCAAACAATGTAGAATATAATCAAACAACTAAAATATAATAAGAGGCTATATAAAGAAATAGAACTTACAGTATAAAAATGAAGCCAGTATATTTTATATTTTTGGATAGGATGAACAAATTGTTATGAATTAGAAATTTCAAAACAGTACTGTTTCTGCTGCTAAATCAGAGAGAATATGTACAGATTGTCTACATGAATAAAGGCTTGTAGAATAGAATTAATGCCTAATAAGTGTCTGGATTATTTTTTCCCTCCAAAGGGATATACGTAGCAGGCATATGCTTTATTCAGAATCACAGTAAGTGAACCAAAACACTTCAGAATGTTGCTTCATTGACACTTAATTGTATGGTAAATGCACTTTTATCCCCTTGTCAAGATCCTTTAGGAATGAGATGTGTTTGTGCTCAGGCTGTGTTCAGTGGTGGAAAAGATCTGCTGATCCTGACAGAGGATCTTGTTGGGCAGTAGAAGTAACATGATGACACATGCCTGCTGTGGAGGATTTGTACTTTGAAGATTCGGGGAAAGCATCACCCATCACCCATATCCCTGGCTTAAAGATCTGAGGTAGAGACGATCCCCAGTTTCAAGGCACCATTTGTGGTTTAAATTCACCTGAGATGAGGGAGGCTCCATTGTTGGGCTGCCTTAGTTGTCACACCTCTTCAGTGTGGCGTGAACCGGCAGATGGGAGTAGCTGTTCCCATCTTTAAAAAGGGAGTGCTCTCATTGTTTTGATATCACAATACTCAGCCTCCCTAGGAATACTTATGTCGAGGTCCTGGAAAGGAGTCTCTGAACCTAGGACCAAGGAGGAAAAGTCAACAATACGCAATTAAATATGCCAAAGAACGGGAGAACATTCCTATGGAAGCTCTTTGTGAATTAAATGACATTTACCCATTATAAGCAGCAGCTGGCCCAACTGGTTTGTAATGGTAGTCACCTCTGAGAGCCGGGTCCACTCAGTTGTCCAACCACTGACACTGATCTACTGTGAAACAAAAGAAGAATACACTACTAACAACCCCAGTGAGTCAATAACTGTATTATCACCAACCCCAATACAAGTTCTGTGTGGATGCAGGAGACAAGGCAGGTCTAAAGTGTCATCAGGTGTCCTCTCACTAATTGGTGTTTTATTGAGTTGGGCCCATGACACCGAGAAGACTTAACAGTGTGTTCCTGCATCCTAGAACCACTCGCCCAGTTTGCCTGCACCCACAAAGCCCTTCATCTACTACCTTAATAACTGGTGTTTCCCTTTGTTGGGCCTGTGACACAGAGAAGGTGTTCTCAGGTCCCAAAACCACCTCTCTCTTTGCCTGCACCCACATACCCAAGACAAGCTTTCAATAACATCTACTCTGTTTGTGATTCAGGCTGACTGTTAATAAACAATAACTAAGCCATAAGAAAACACTAACTAGCAAACAATTTGAATGTTGTCCTAGCCAAACATTTCAAATAACCCACCAAATATTTCAGATAACTCACCAAATGTTTCAACTAACCCAGCCAGACTTCTACATCCTTATGTACTGAAATATACCCTGTGTTGCTAATATTTCCAACAAACCAGTCAAACCTCTATAATTATACAATATTTAACAAAATATCTTGATGATCTGAATTTAGGGATGACAAGGACAGCTATAGAATCAGAGCAGATTAAAACATTTAATATCTATCTGTTCTGCAATCATTCCCACTGTGTAGCTGAAACCTGCAGATGATTTGATCAATGACAATGATCAGAAAGCCTAAACGGATTTTGTATATTAAACATAGGCATAACATGTAAAATTTCAGCTGCTATCATGGTATTTGATCAAAGCTACAAGTGAAAAACAAACAGAGAAGAGATAAGTTGTTTTCTCCCTTTTCCCTTTTTTCAGTAAAATTAAAAAACTCCAACTTTTTCTTATCAATTAAATACATAGTACCCCCGCACACGGAACATACACGGATCATTTAGATCTAAAAACACTTGTTTTCTAATTGTGGGAGTCACTGCATTTAACCTACGCGGTCAGATAACCCAGCGTATACAAATCACACGTCAGTATGATATATAATAGAACGGACACAAGGTGGCAGTAACACAACACCAGGATACCCACTGCCATAAAACACCAGAGAAGAAGAAGACGACGACAAATTATGTTAATACTTTCGGTGTACTTTGCAGCCGCAATGCAATCGTTTTTTATGTCAATTTAAACAATTTAGTGAAACACAAAACGAACTGATTGATCTTTGATCTACCTAGTAAGCTTCGGCGGTGTCATTGTAACTGAAACATGGATATTCCCAATCCTCCCGAAGGTGAGCAGTATGCTGCAGCAATGTACCTTTTTTCATTGAACTTTAGCTAGCATCCATGCTAGCAGGAGCTAATGCGATACAACATAGCAAACATTACCCCCTGCATTTAGCAAGTTGATTGGCGTTAGTAAACTTCAGTAGTTACATGCGTAACGTTATCTCGGACGTTTTATGCACACGTTTGCACTTAAGTAAAGCAATATAAACAACAAGAATAAATCAAATCAAACAACGTGAGAATAGTATTACAAATGCTAGCTGGCTAATGCTAGCGTTAGCTGGTTTATGTTTCAGCGTGTTTTTTAAAATTAGCGTTAGCTAACCTTCCTGGTAGATGTTATTTTATTCTGCGATTTTCCTCTTTTCAGTTTTTGTTTTCGAGTGTGATGTGATGTCAAATTTTTGTTAGCCCATATATGTTAACGTTAGTCAAGTAGCAAAAACATTCTATTTACTGTAGTTATGTGACAAGATCACCGCGTATGTTAGCCACAGCTTGTGACTCGCATACACTCAAGTTATAACGATAATCTTGCTCGAGCTTTCCCATAGACTTGCCGAACGTTTTAACCCCGTACCGTCGTTTCATAACACTCGGCGAAATTCTGGAGGTATTTTCGGAATCCTCACAGACACTTCTAACGATGCGGAATCAAAAACTAATCCGAACCACTCCAGGAAAAAATCCAATTTTAATCAGTTTCTTTTCAGTTAAGCAAAGATTTTTGACAGGAAATGACATCATCTCGCTATTTTTGTGAAAGTTGAGTATGAATGTGTTATGGAAAGATTATTATTATTATATAAAAAGTAAGTAAAGTTATTTTTGAAATAGTTTAAGTAATATATTCATGAAGCGACATGAGCTTAAACACAAAGACAGAGTGAAGAAGTCATTTCTCGTCCAGGCTAAGCCCCTTTTACACTGTCCATTGCACCATTATGCCTGGAGTGCAAGTAAGGATGTCAGGCTTGGATAGTGGGAAGTTGATTCAAAGGCTGTGTTGTTTATGGCATAAAAGGTTTATTCATAATGCAAGTGAGCTGTTTGGTGAATGCAGGGCTTCACACTAACATTTCATACTGGTGCCACTGGAACCAGTGCCAGATTTGGTGGCTCCACGTCTGTTTTACAATGTAATGCAAAAATATTTTGCATAAAGTATTTATTAACCATACCATCCAACGTGCATAGCCTGTATTTATAATGAAATACAGAGAGAGGGAAACTTAAGGAACATTAAATGGGAAAATCTTTTCTGGAACAAGTTTCCAATTCTTATGTAACTACTGTAGTGCTGTATAGCCTAGCAGTCAACATGATAATGCTGATGGTGATGATGGTGATGAAGATAAGGCTATTATACTACTTAGTATGAACTGTGCTGTTTGTGTATGTGCTCTTTGGTGATGTTTGTGTTGGACTTCATGCACAGTTCAGCTCTCTCACTTGCCTGGCTACTGCCGTCTTATTTTTGGGATAAGTTACTACCCTAGTTAGTAGCCTACTACTTAAAGAAGAATTAATGGTGGCTTTCGGCCACTAGTAACTTCAAATACAGTGTTCCTATTTTCTCACAGATGTCCATTATAATTCTCTACACCAGAACCTGTCTCTGTGCACAGTATTATGAGAGATTAGGGTGAATGCCATCCGTGTTTTTCTCACTTAAATAATGAGACAAGCAGCACACTTGTATTTCTATTGAAAAATGCTGCAACATGCAACCGCAGTGTTTTCTAATCATGTTTATAATTCTTCTTATTTTTAGGGTCAGTCTAGTGCTGCAATCCAGCTCAATCAACTGGCACAGTCACTTGCATTAAAAAAAGACCCCGCTGTTTTCTTTGAGGGTTGTTGTAGCTGTTGATAAGTGTAATTGTATAATATCTTGTACCGTGAAACTGATATTTTCTGATGCTTATCATACTGTAAAATTTTCATACCTTTGCCATCCTGTTATTCATTATATGCCTCAACATTTGTTAGCCTCTTGACCTTACCAGGGTGAAAATGTGCACTGTACACCCTGTAGCTCTGATGCAGCTGCTGAGAGCGTAACCCTGATGCGTCAGTGATGCATTTCTGAGATTCTGCACCCGTCTGTAAGGCAGTAGGCTATTAGGCTATATGCATTTATTCATTCATTCATTAATTTAACTTACAGGCTATGTTACCATTTTAATAATAAAAAACACTTGAGAGGATTAAGAAAAAAAAGTGTTCATTAATTTTAAAACAAAAGGGGAAAGTTTAGGCTAAAGGCAGACTCTGTAGTCTAAGCTTTTTAATGACCGATGTCAGACCAGGTAATCTTTTATTATTCAAATAGCCATTGCAAGGTAGTTCTAAAGATGAGTAGCCTAGAATATGGGATGTATGGTCCAGTACAAAGACAAGTTTTAGATTGAAATAATTAGATAATAACCATTTACAAGATGCTTGATAGTTTATGCAGTTGAGTGCCAAACACTATTTTCTTTTATTCCACTTGGAATTCACTTTCTTGATCATGTCGGTGTTGATTAAGTTATTTATCTGTACAGTTTGTTTTGTTCTCATTGGTGTTTTCAGTCCGAAATGGCCACCATGCTACTACAGCCCCAACTCGAGGCACCAAGAAGCACCAGAGTTTTGCCTCTAACCAAGGAATAATATAATAAGGGAATTTGGATCTTATCAGACATTTAACTGAATTCTCATGGGAATGTGTTTATCGCAGATATCAATTTTACTGTCAGTTCAGCCATGATGACAGATATTTAGGTCTGTGTACTTTTTTATTTTCTGAAAAATAAATACCCATACAGCAAATTTTGAAAAACCCAGAAGATCAAGGATACGGTCATACATACTTTTTTGAAGGTATTTTCAGAATTCCTCAAGACTCTTTTAACCATTTGGATGAAAAAATATTTGTATAGCTGATTTTCTAAATGGTTGTTTCTTGATCCAAACACAGATAATAGTCTCACATGTTCTTGCTAAATTAGAAACGTTTGTTATATTGTTGTAGCTTTTTTAAATTCAAAACTGTATTTTTATATTGATCTTGTTATAGATATTTCACAACCACATGAATACCAAACAGTTCTATGATTTTTTTTTTTATCTTGTAGAAGATAGGAGTAGATAATTTTTCATTCACCATTAAAACTGGTTCACAGGTATTTGAGGATTCTGGAAATCCCTTTAAAACTGAGGTAAACATTGTTGAACAACCTCTTTCTGTGTGTGAGATTTTTTGGGGGCTGGATATTTAGCAGTTGCTGTCTCAGCTCTGACTCTGTTTCCTTTTCTTCTCTTCCCTGATGCAGATCAAGAGCTGAGGAATGTGATTGACAAGCTGGCCCAGTTTGTCGCCCGGAACGGGCCAGAGTTTGAAAAGATGACAATGGAGAAACAGAAAGACAACCCCAAATTTTCCTTCCTCTTTGGGGGAGAATTTTTCAGCTACTACAAGTGCAAGCTTTCTATGGAGCAACAGCAGCGTATGTAGTTAAAGGGATAGTCCACGATAAAACTAGAATTTGCATGTAGATATTTGTATGATGTGTGAATGATCAGTCCATATGGCTTGCTCAGTGCTATAGAATATTTGATGAAATGAATGCAAATAATGAAACTAATTGAAATGCAACATGTTCAGCTGAATTTTAAAAAAAGAATCAGGCTAATAAGTGATATATAATTTATTTGATCAAATGAATCTATTCCATGTACGAACTTTAAGTGATATACCCCGATTAGACCCCCTGGTGCACCCATACACAGAAGGTTTGTGTTGTATTATTTATATTTGTTTTGGGAGAAAATGTTGATTGAACTCTTCTACATCGTATTAATAATTGCATATTCTGTTTTAGAGTGGATTTATTTCCTTTGTGTTTATAGGCACCCAAAGCCTGCCTTAGTGTTGCCCTTGTCAAGTGAATACTATACCATAGCACACTTAGTTGCTTCACCATGCTTACTTAAAGCATCATTTGCCAGTTGGGTAGCAGTACAACCACAAGCTACCTCCATTTTGTATGCTGAGTTTTCACAGCAAAGCCACATGGAGCTGACAAGTGCTGAACTGAACCAAACTTGGAACGCTGGATATAGATCCTTAGATTGTTTTGAGCACACAGTAAATTGTGTCCATGGCACTAAATAGACAAGTACCCACATTTGCTATCCAAAGCTAACTGATATTTCTTAATCTTGATAACATATTCTTTGATCTGATTTTTTTTTAATTATTCATATCATAATCTTGTCAGTTTTATCGTTACAGCCCAAATCAGAAAAAGTTGGGGCAGTATGTAAAATTAAAACTAAATCGTAATGTGTAAAACATCTGTCCTGTATCACATTGAAAACAACACAGCAGCACATTATTTGTTGTGACACCATCAAACACTCTCTTCAATTCTGATGCTGCAACACTTTCCAAAAAAAGTTTGGACAGTAAAGTGTTTACCACGGTGTGATGCTGCCGTTCCTTTTCACAACACTTGGAAGACGTTTAGGGACTGAGGACACAAAGTGATGTGTCGGAAACATTTTGTCTCATTCCTCCTTGCAAACAACAAATTCTCGATTGGGGACAGGTGGGGACTGCAGGCA